AATTGATATTCAAGTGTAATACTCTGATTTTATGAACAATTGAAAAACTTATTAAGAATACAATATGTTTGATCAGAAATAAATTGCGGTGTTAGAAACATAATGAATGTTCACACATCTTACATTGACAGCGACAGACAGCCGTTTGATGACTTCCATCAAATAAATCATATCCGGGTTGATGAAACCAAAGTGAAAAACAGTTTGGATTGAGTTTGATGTCGATCTGCAGGATGAGTGGACTACGGAAACTGAAACTGTTTCAATGTCGAACGAATCATTTTTTATTACTAGCATTTATTGTATGGACATCAGTGTTCCTGATATTTTGGAGAGCTAGAGATGCGACAAGCAATGCTATGTTAGTTCACAAAAGATGCAAGGAATGTATGAATACAACAGGTGTATTGCGGGCTGCATCTAAGCATTCTACAGAATATCGAGGTCTGACACCCATCTACATAGTAGAGGAACATCATGAAGGTAATAAATTAAAACACTAGTTTGTATGTCCAACGTCCGATTGTATCGGACTGTAATCGCCAGGTTTTATCTTGTCGCAGCAACTGGAAGGTCCGCTATCTTCTCATTGTGTCAGCTGTACAAGACGAATGTTATGGTCAATCTAGTGTACTTCGGACCTGATTGCAGCCGAAAATGCACAAAATTACAAGTTATGGGGTTAGGTGGATTTGTTTGGAAGGCGGGGACGACATTATTTCTTAATCACCAAAAACCGAGGACCTTTCGACACCACTTTTTGTGAATACTTTTAATGAATTCAATTCCCATCAGAAGACTTGTACCGTAGTGCAGGGTAGTCCAACAGTGTCGCAAACGGTTGGTTGACTCTTGACACGGCCCGCAACTGTGAGTGTTCACAAGACACCAGCCGCTCATCAGGTCTTAAATCATGTGAAAGGTTTCACAATTCACAAATTCTCCACAGATCACGCTATATTAATTTAGATTTCATTTGTATTTTTATACGCCCACGTTGTAATGTGGTCGTATATTGTCGTAGCCCCTGTCTGTCCGTCCGTCGGTCTGTCAGTCCATCCGTCAAAATTTTGTTTGTAAACGCAATAGAAACTACAGTTTTTATCTGATTTTTGTGAAATTTGGTGTGAATACTTATAATGATGAGATTTTGGACAAGATCGAATTTGGCTATCTTTCTGAGTTAATATCCTTGACTTACGAAAACGCGTTAAAATTTTAGAGACTACAGATTTCATCCGATTTAAATGAAATTTGGTGTGATAATTTATAATGATGAAATCTTAGTCTTTGAATTTGACAATTTTTCGATCAATGGAATTTGAGTTATTGCCTTTGACTTAGTAAAAACGCACCAAAATGTGTTGGCTTGTCCAAAGCGATAGAAGTGACAGTTTATGTCAGAATTTTATAACATTTTGTGTGTTTGATTAAATCAACAATATCTTGCACAAAATTAATTAGATTTTTGGTATGATTTGACACAGATTAGTGATCGTCGTTTAATTGGGAAAGTGGGCGTATCTTGCTAGGCAACCACTTGTTCATTTTATTCCAGTGTTGCCATATTGGTTTGGATCAGCTCAGAAAGGTTTAATACCTAAAACAAATAATGTACTCGTAAGTCTTTGCAGTGCCACTATTTCTTTATTAAAAAATTAAACATTAAACATTTTTGTGTCGTTTGATACATTAAACTTATAGTTAAAGTATATTAAACATCTGCAACCAGCGTAATTATACAATTCAATAAAATAAATTTCTGAAAAGATTTAATAATTCTTAACACGCGTCATGTGATGTTAGTGCTGATACTCTTGGTTGCGCAACGCCGTATTCTTAGATTTTGGGGAAGAGTTTATCTATTGTATTGTTCCTTTAAGGGTCGTTATTTTGGAGGAAAAATGTGCTATTAGAATACATGTATAAACATACTAATAAGCAGTGGCTCAACTACCACAGGAGTTTGGACCTATTCCATGGCCCCCAGAATAAAATGCAGAAGAGCATATTAATTCTAAAAAGGGGCCCGAACCAACTAGTTGAGCCACTGATAATAAGAGATTAATTTGATATTGTAGTTACATATTGATGGACATATTGATGGTGCTCCGCCTCCTATCTTTGAAATTCTACCATTGTTTAGACAACCCGTATCTAGTGCAGAAGTTAAAGCCATGATGCAACAAAATGATGTGTTCATAGCAGTAAGTTTCGGCCGTTTTTCTACCCCCTTCACCAATTTTTATACATCCGTGAAAAAGTGATCGGCCGATTAAATACAGTCGTGTTAGACTTTTCTCCCCTCGACTGTATTTCGGTTCCGTAGTCATTGTAGAATATCTGTCCATTAACGTCTTGATGGAATCGTTAATGGTTCAGCTTTGTATATAGATACCAACAATTCTCAAAAACTAGGGCTCCGATCGGAGTATCTTCTATTGAGAATTAATTTACGTCTGGTCTTAGACGTGCAAATAATCCATACGTACATCATGTCCGACAAACAGGTAGGACCACATTTGTCGGGTTTTTGTCCTAATTTGATATTGTGCTATAATACCTCTGCTCCACAGCAATTGTTTTCCTGATTCGACAACTCACGCTCGCGGATGTTGAAACAGGATATACAGTTGATTAATAATGACACGATTGTAAATACGTGTTAACAAAAGTACAGCTTCGCCAGTCAAACACTTCAAAAAGGAATTAAAATTTTATCACCAGATACATACACCAGTAGTCTAGCATATCATTTAAATAGGCCTATATAAATTATAGCGTGTTCAATCTGGTAACCAACCGTATTGGGAACAAAATGTAGCAGTTTTCAATGTTCAGAATCGTTGCCTTTTTCCTTGGTAGATGAAAGATTTCATTTTATAAAGAAATAACGATATTTTATGATGTATCTTTCTTACTCCAGGGTGCTGCACAATCTGGTCTTATTTCAAGATTTATATGGGTATGGCCGCCATGGGATAAAAATTTAACAGCCATTAACAATGATCATATACAAGCAACGGTAGAAATGGGATTAGTTAAAGGTTTACCACAAGGTCATGCATATCCAGTCTGTTTTTGTTTGATAGCTTCAGAACCGTCAACAGCTTCGACATTGTCCTTAATGAATAAATGTATACATATAACAGAAAACGTTCGTGAGCTGGATTGGTCAGAGTCGGAAATCCCTAAATCAAAATGCGATATAAAGAGGACTTTAAGCGTAGAAGTTGTGAATGAAAATAAAGCATTAGAACTGTCTAAGAGTGATAACTGGTTGACAGAAAATGATAACATTATTTTAGATATTGATGAAGATTATTATGGTTGCGAGCCTGCCATACAACCACTATACGATGTAGGAATTACTGACAAAAAAAGTGACTCGATGACTTATTTAGTCGGTAAGATATTCTGTCCCGTTGACATTAACCAAGAACGACAATTTGATACTATATTTTATGATTTGATTCAGCAGATTAAAACAATTAAGTCGTACTCACAACGTCGGAATCTGGAAATTTCTAAAGAGAATGAAAGCAAAGCATTATTTACTGCTCTGAAGGATAAAGTGAAGAGTAATAACCTAGAGCAATATTTATGTAAGGATAAATCGTTAGGTAGAGCAATCATTGTATTAATTAAATATCTATTCTCTGCTACACAATTTCAACTTTCTGCTATCTCTAAAGTTGGTTTATGTTTGAGTGTTTCTTCCAAAACTTTCCAGTTCAACCCAGCAGATGGAATGAGATTATGTGATGGATTCAATAGACCGAATAGAACCATGGTTTTCTTCCATACACCCGATTTACCAGAAATTAACTTAAGAACTGCTAATCTGGAGGGTATTTTAAGAAGTACACCAACACCAGCTATCGTGACAATCTGTCGTTCTGTCAGAGATGGTTATTCACCATTAAAATACTTTGAGAAAATAGAATCTGATATTTTAAAAACATTAAAAAATACTTATAATATCAATCATGATTCTATACATTATGATGATGGATTGCTAGGGGGTAAAGCAGGGTTGCCCTCGAGACATTTATGATTTATTATGATAATAAAAAAGATTTTAAAATTTAATAAGTAAAATATTTAAACCAATATATTTCTTATCCATTTCAAGCATCAAAGAATCCTGGGAGGACAAATTTGCATAATGAGTGTAAATACAAAGTTCAAACTTTTCAAATTAGTTATGTAGATTTTTTCACAAATAAACATCTACTGGTTATTTTGCTTAGCGACTTAATTTCAGAATAAATCAAAATAAACATCTTTCTACTAAAATGTAGACCTAAAGCGTAATTGATAACTCTCGTCTGATATTAACATTATACCTCTCGGGTCAAAATTGACAAAAGTTATCTCGGGGTTTGAATTAGCCTAGTTTAGTTAAAGCTTCACAGGTTGGGGTTAATATAAAATATAATTGACAGCCTGCCATTCGAAAAAACCACCAGAGATGTCAAATTGAAATTTGAACTGCATTTGCACACCGATCTTAAGATACAATGCTCTGAATTTCAAGTTCCCTACCTTGCTTAGTCTTCATGATAAGGCTTTCAGAGACCTAGTCTTTTCATAAAGTAATTTCGTGAGATTTAGGCCTACTTCAAAGTTGATTTTCTCGAAAATTTTTTCTATTTTCCTGTTTTCAGTTGAAATAAACGCACATTATGTTCAACCTTTTGTGATAGAAAATATTTACCTCTCGGGTCAAAATTTGCGAAGTTATGACCATTTTCATCTGGGAATAGGTCTAAATCAGAATGGTTCAGTCTAGCTTCAAGACAAAGACCAAGGTAGTATTTCAAAATGTGTCTTATGTAAAACTAAAAAGCTAGTTAGCGAGAAGTAGAGATTATATATGGCCGCAGCCGGCTCCCATACGACAAATATAACAGCTGTTTTATGACTCCTATCAAATAAATTTTATCTGAAACCAAAGTAAAAAACAGTTCGGATGTAGTTTGATGTCGATCTGCAGGATGAGTGGACTACGGAAACTGAAACTGTTTCAATGTCGAATGAAACATTTTTTATTACTAACATTTATTGTATGGACATCAGTGTTCCTGATATTTTGGACAGTCAGAGATGCCACAAGCAATGCTATGTTAGTTCACAAAAGTTGTAAGGAATGTATGAATACAACAGGTGTATTGCGGGCTGCATCTAAGCATTCTACGGAACATCGAGGTCTGACACCCATCTACATAGTAGAAGAACATCATGAAGGTAATAAATTAAAACATTAGTTTTTTATGTCTAACGACTGACTTTATCGGACTGTAAACGCCTTTGGATATATTTTGTCGCAGCACCTGGAAGAGTATGCTATCTGTTGTACAAGAAAACTGCATTCATTTTAATTTATCGTGTAGGTCGGTCTACATGATCGTGGGAGCTAATGCGGGCCACATTATTCGCTAAGAATATAAATTAGATCTGTACGATTAGTCAGTCTAGTGTACTTCGGACGTGATTCTAGCCGAAAATGCAAAAAATTCCAGGTAGGTAGAAGGCGGGAACGACATTATTTCTTAATCACCAAAAACCGGGGGAGTTCTGAAACCATTTTTCGTGAATACTTCCAATGAATTTAATTCCCGCCAGCAGACTTATACCGTAGTGCAGGGTAGTCAACCGTGTTGCATTGGGTCGGTTGACGCAACTGACTTTCTTGAAACGGACCGCAACAACTGCGAGTGCTCACAAGACACCAGCGGACCATAAGGTCTTAACTCATGTGAAAGGTTTCACAATTTATAATTTCTCTACAGATCACACTGTTATAGTTTAGATTTCATTTCTATTTTTCATTTTATTCCAGTGTTGCCATATTGGTTTGGATCAGCTCAGAAAGGTTTAATACCTAAAACAAATAATGTACTCGTAAGTCTTTGCAGTGCCACTATTTCTTTATTGAAAAATTAAACATTAAACATTCCTGGGTTGTTTGATACATTAAACATTATTATAGCTAAAGTATACCAGGGTACTTATACAATTCAATAAAATAAATTTCTGAAAAGCTGAAAAAATTCTTATTATGCGTGATGTGATGTTAGTGCTGACATTTATTTCAATAAATTTCACTCTGGTTGCGCAACGTCTTTTTCTTAGTTTTGAGGAATTTAAAGATGATCATCTTGTTGAGCCAATGAAAATAAGGCATTAATTTGATATTGTAGTTACATATTGATGGACATATTGATGGTGCCCCGCCTCCTATCTTTGAAATTCTACCATTGTTTAGACAACCCGTATCTAGTGCAGAAGTTAGCGCCATGATGCAAAAAAATGATGTGTTTATAGCAGTAAGTTTTGGAATTATTTTCTACCCTCTCCACCAATTTATATACACCCGTGAAAAAGTGCTCGGTCACTTAAATATAGTCGGGGGTAGACTTGATAGACTCTTTAATGGTTCAGCTTTGTATAGATACCAAAAGTTTGCCAAATTAGCCTTTCGTCATGATGAAAATTCTCAAAAATCAGCGATCCAAAAATGGATCGGAGTACCAACTATTAAGAGTGAATTTATTACTGGTCTTAAACGTGACAATTATCCATCCGTACATCTTGTCCGACAAACTGTTTATTATTTTTGTCGGGTTTTTGTCTTAATTTAATACTGTGCTACGATACCTCTGCTCCACAGCAATTATTTTCATGATTCAACAACTCACACTTGGTGATATTGATATACCGTTAATAACGACACTATTGTAAATAAATGTAATGCTGTTAACAAAAGTAAAGTTTTTCTAGGCAAACACTTCAATGAATTAAAGTATAACCACCAGATACATGTATTAGCAGCATGCTATTTAAATATAGTGTTCAATCTGCTAACCGACCGTGTGGGAATAAAATGTAGCAGTTTTCAATGCTCAGAATCGTTGCCTTTTAACTTGGTTACTGCAAAGTTTCGTTTTACAGAAATGACGAATGCTCAAATAGGGCGTGTTTTTGAATTTCGAATTTGAAATTTTATTTTTGACTTTATAAAAGACACTTTTGAGTTTGTAAAAATACTTTTAAATTTGTAAAAGTACTTATGAATTTATAAAATACTTTGGAATTTAAAAACATACTTTTGACTTTCTAAAAATACTTTCGGCTTTGAAAAATTATTGTGTTAATTCTTATGCATGATAATATTTCGAGTTTGACACAATTGCTCGAACGTACAACCCCACACACACACACACCCCTATCAGAGTGCTAAGAATTAGCCTATATAATAGCCTTAAGCAAAGACAGACAGCCGTTAATGTTTCAAAGAGTGAATGGTTAAAATTAATCAGCAAGGGCACTGAAATAAGCAAATAGACAATCGGAGTATTTTTAAGAGCAACTCAAATCTTTCATATGAGTAATAGCCACAAGTCTCGGGATATTTATTGTGGACTAGTAATCTCCTCACTGGGGTACAATTTAATTTCTCATTAGTCGAAGTGACGGTACCAAGACATGGGGGAAACATATTTTCAGCATCATCAGCGTAATGTGGTCACAGACATATTGAATTTCAAATTTGAAAGTTTTTTTTTTTTTCAAATTCAAAAATATATTTTCAAATTCAAAAATATTTTTTCAAATTTGAAATTCAAAAATTCAAAAACATGTCGTATATGAGCTTCCGTAATGTGTGATCATATTGTATATTTTATGATGTATCTTTCTAACTCCAGGGTGCTGCACAATCTGGTCTTATTTCAAGATTTATATGGGTATGGCCGCCATGGGATAGAAATTTAACAGCCATTAACAATGATCATATACAAGCAACGGTAGAAATGGGATTAGTTAAAGGTTTACCACAAGGTCATGCATATCCAGTCTGTTTTTGTTTGATAGCTTCAGAACCGTCAACAGCTTCGACATTGTCCTTAATGAATAAATGTTTACATTTAACAGTAGACGATTCTGAACTGTATTTGTCTGAGTCAGAAATCCCAAAATCAAAATGTGATATTAAGAGGACTTTAAGCGTAGAAGTTGTGAATGAAAATAAAGCATTAGAACTGTCTAAAAGTGGTAACTGGTTGAAAGAAAATGATAACATTATTTTAGATATTGATGAAGATTATTATGGTTGCGAGCCTGCCATACAACCACTATACGATGTAGGAATTACTTATAAAGAAAGTGACACAATGACTGATCTAATCGGTAAGATATTCTGTCCCGTTGACATTAACCAAGAACGACAATTTGATACTATATTTTATGATTTGATTCAGCAGATTAAAACAATTAAGTCGTACTCACAACGTCGGAATCTGAAAGTTTCTAAAGAAAATGAAAGCAAAGTATTATTTACTGCTCTGAAGGATAAAGTGAAGAGTAATAACCTAGAGCAATATTTATGTAAGGATAAATCGTTAGATAGAGCAATCATTGTATTAATTAAATATCTATTCTCTGCTACACAATCTCAACTTTCTGCTATCTCTAAAGTTGGTTTATGCTTAAGCATCTCTTCCAAAACGTTTGAGTTCAACCCAGCAGATGGAATGAGATTATGTGATGGATTCAATAGACCGAATAGAACCATGGTTGTCTTCCATACGCCCGATTTACCAGAAATTAACATAAGAACTGCTAATCTGGAGGGTATTTTAAGAAGTACACCAACACCAGCTATCGTGACAATCTGTCGTTCTGTCAGAGATGGTTATTCACCATTAAAATACTTTGAGAAAATAGAATCTGATATTTTAAAAACATTAAAAAATACTTATAATATCAATCATGATTCTATACATTATGATGATGGATTGCTAGGGGGTAAAGCAGGCTTGCCCTCGAGACATTTATGATTTATTATGATAATAAAAAACATTTTCAAATTGAATAAGTTATAATTGTCAATCTGCCATTCAAAAATTGAACTGCATTTGCACACCGATCTTCAGAAGCAATTCTCTGAATTTCAAGTTCCCTACTTTGCTTAGTCCTCATGATAAGGCTTTCAGTGACCAAGTCTTTTCATAAAGTAATTTCGTGAGATTTTCTCTCGAAAGCCGGGTAATAGACCTACTTCAAAGTTGAAAATTTTCCTGTTTTCGGTTGAAATAGACGCACAGTATGTTCAAATTCTTTCGATAGAAAATATTTACCTCTCGGGTAAATTTGCGAATTTATGACCATTTTCATCTGGGAATAGGTCTAAATCAGAATGGTTCAGTCTAGCTTCAAGACAAAGACCAAGGTAGTATTTCAAAAAGTGTTATAATTTGTAAAATTCAAAATTGCTCGTGATCGAGAAGTAGAGATTAGATATGGCCGCAGCCGGCTCCCATACAACATATATAACAGCTGTTTTATGACTCCTATCAAATAAATCATATCTCATGAGTTAACGAAACCAAAGTGAAAAACAGCTTGGATGTAGTTTTGATGTCGATTTGCAGGATGAGTGGACTACGGAAATTGAAAATCTTTTTTTTTCGAATGAAACATTTTTTATTACTAGCATTTATTGTATGGACATCAGTGTTCCTGATATTTTGGAGAGCTAGAGATGCGACAAGCAATGCTATACTTCACAAAAGATGCAAGGAATGTATGAATACAACAGGTGTTTTGAGGGCTGCATCTAAGCATTCTACAGAATATCGAGGTCTGACACCCATCTACATAGTAGAGGAACATCATGAAGGTAATAAATTAAAACATTAGTTTTGTATGCCACATTATTCGCTAAGAATATAGAGTAGATTAGTACGATTAGTCAGTCTAGTGTACTTCGGACGTGATGCAAGCAGAAAATGCACCAATTTCAAGTTATGTCGATGAGTTAGACATGTTAAGATGGCGGGAACGACATTATTTCTTAATCACCATAAACCGAGGACGTTCTGAAACCATACTTCCAATGAATTTAATTCCCGCCAACAGACTTGTACCGTAGTGCAGGGTAGTCCAACGTGTTGCATTGGGTTGGTTGACGCAATTTGCTTGAAACGGGCCACAACATTTGCGAGTGCACACAAGACACCAGCCGATCATTAGGTCTTAAATCATGTGAAAGGTTTCACAATTCAGAATTTCTCTACAGATCACACTGTCTTAGTTTAGATTTCATTTTATTTCAGTGTTGCCATATTGGTTTGGAGCAGTTCAGAAAGGTTTAATACCTAAAACAAATAATGTACTCGTAAGTCTTTGCTGTGCAACTATTTCTTTATTGAAAAATTAAACATTAAACATTCCTGGGTTGTTTGATACATTAAACATTATTATAGCTTCAGTATATTAAACATCTGCAACCAGCGTAATTATACGATTCAATAAAATAAATTTCTGAAAAGCTGAAAAAATTCTTATTATGCGTGATGTGATGTTAGTGCTGACATTTATTTCAACAAATTTCACTCTGGTTGCGCAACGTCTTCTCCTCAGTTTTGGGTAATTTAAAGATCGTCATTTTTTGGAGAAAGGGTGCTATTCATGTACACGTATATCAAAACGAATATAATAAGAAACGCCCAAACTCCCTCCCCCTCCCCCTCCCCCTCCCTTCCCTCTCGGAACAATATATTAATTCTTAAAAAATTCCGTTGGAGGTGCCCCATCAAACTTATTTCCACGGGCCCACACTCATCTAGTTGAACCAATGAAATTAAGGCATTAATTTGATATTGTAGTTACATATTGATGGACATATTGATGGTGCTCCGCCTCCTATCTTTGAAATTCTACCATTGTTTAGACAACCCGTATCTAGTGCAGACGTTAGCGCCATGATGCAAGAAAATGATGTGTTTATAGCAGTAAGTTTTGGAACGTTTTTCTACCCTCTCCACCAATGTATATACACCTGCGAAAAAGTGCTCGGTCACTTAAATATAGTCGGGGGTAGACTTGATAGACTCTTTAATGGTTCAGCTTTGTATAGATACCAAAAGTTTGCCAAATTAGCCTTTCGTCATGATGAAAATTCTCAAAAATCAGCGATCCAAAAATGGATCGGAGTACCAACTATTAAGAGTGAATTTATTACTGGTCTTAAACGTGACAATTATCCATCCGTACATCTTGTCCGACAAACTGTTTATTATTTTTGTCGGGTTTTTGTCTTAATTTAATACTGTGCTACGATACCTCTGCTCCACAGCAATTATTTTCATGATTCAACAACTCATACTCACTGATGTTGATATACCGTTAAAAACGATACTATTGTAAATAAATGTAATGCTGTTAAATAAAGTTTCTCTAGGCATACACTTTCACATTGAATTAAAATATAACAACCGGATACATATACAAGCAGCATGCTATTTAAATATAGAGTGTTCAATCTGGTAACCGACCGTATCGGGTACAAAATGTAGCAGTTTTCAATGTTCAGAATCGTTGCCTTTTTCCTTGGTAAATGAGGTTACTGCATAGTTTCGTTTTACAGAAATGACGAATGCTCAAATAGGGGAAACAGCATCATCAGCGTAATGTGGTCACAGACATCAAATTTCAAATTCAAAAGTATTTTTTCAAATTCGAAATTCAAAAATTCAAAAACATGTCGTATTTGAGCATCCGTAATGTGTGATCATATTGTATATTTTATGATGTATCTTTCTAACTCCAGGGTGCTGCACAATCTGGTCTTATTTCAAGATTTATATGGGTATGGCCGCCATGGGATAAAAATTTAACAGCCATTAACAATGATCATATACAAGCAACGGTAGAAATGGGATTAGTTAAAGGTTTACCACAAGGTCATGCATATCCAGTCTGTTTTTGTATGATAGCTTCAGAACCGTCAACAGCTTCGACATTGTCCTTAATGAATAAATGTATACATTTAACAGTAGACGATGCTGAACTGGATCAGCCTGAGTCAGAAATCCCTAAATCAAAATGCGATATAAAGAGGACTTTAAGCGTAGAAGTTGTGAATGAAAATAAAGCATTAGAACTGTCTAAAAGTGATAACTGGTTGACAGAAAATGATAACATTATTTTAGATATTGATGAAGAATATTATGGTTGCGAGCCTGCCATACAACCACTATACGATGTAGGAATTACTTATAAAGAAAGTGACACAATGACTGATCTAATCGGTAAGATATTCTGTCCCGTTGACATTAACCAAGAACGACAATTTGATACTATATTTTATGATTTGATTCAGCAGATTAAAACAATTAAGTCGTACTCACAACGTCGGAATCTGGAAATTTCTAAAGAGAATGAAAGCAAACTATTATTTACTGCTCTGAAGGATAAAGTGAAGAGTAATAACCTAGAGCAATATTTATGTAAGGATAAATCGTTAGATAGAGCAATCATTGTATTAATTAAATATCTATTCTCTGCTACACAATCTCAACTTTCTGCTATCTCTAAAGTTGGTTTATGCTTAAGCATCTCTTCCAAAACGTTTGAGTTCAACCCAGCAGATGGAATGAGATTATGTGATGGATTCAATAGACCGAATAGAACCATGGTTGTCTTCCATACGCCCGATTTACCAGAAATTAACATAAGAACTGCTAATCTGGAGGGTATTTTAAGAAGTACACCAACACCAGCTATCGTGACAATCTGTCGTTCTGTCAGAGATGGTTATTCACCATTAAAATACTTTGAGAAAATAGAATCTGATATTTTAAAAACATTAAAAAATACTTATAATATCAATCATGATTCTATACATTATGATGATGGATTGCTAGGGGGTAAAGCAGGGTTGGCCTCGAGACATTTATGATTTATTATGATAATAAACAATTTTTTAAATTGAATAAGTAAAACTATTTATAGTAATATAGTTTTTATCCATTTTAATACGCCCACATTAAATGGGCGGCGTATATTGCCGAAAAAATCGTTAAAGAATGAGTCATTGCCGTTGTTCTTGAAAACGCGTTCAATTTTTAGCTCGTAAACACTCTCGATGGCACAATTCTTTACGAATTTTGACGAAAATTTGTGTGAGTGTTCGTTATCACCCAAGGATGAACCCTATCGAAAATCAGAAGAATCGAAAAATATTTAGTATAAGTTATTACCCTTGTTCCTGAAAACGGGTTCAATTTTTAGCTCGTAAACACTCTACAAGTCACAATTCTTGACGGATTTCGACGAAACTTTGTGTGAGTGTTCGCAACCGCCCAAGGACGAATCCTATATAAAATCAGAAAAATCGAAAAATATTTAGAATGAGTTATTACCCCTGTTCTTGAGAACGCGTTCAATTTTTATCTCAATCTCAATCAAGAAGGCACAACTCTTGACAGATTTTGACGAAACTTGGTGAAGTTGTTTATTTTCACCCATAGATGAACCCTATCGAAAATAAAAAAAATCCAAAAATGTTTCATAGGAGTTGATGACCTCGTTCTTGAAAACGCTTTCAAATTTTACCTCTTAAACACTAAAAGGTATGATTCTTGTTGGATTTTGACAAAACTTGGTTTTATTATTCAGTACCGCGCTGAAGGTTGAAAATTTGCCTTCTAGAGTTTTGACGAGCTAAAATTGAACACGTTTTCAAGAACAGAGACAATAAGTCATACTCAATATTATTCAGTATCAACCTCAAGAGTTTAAAAGAAGTGTATGACTGAAGGTTGATTATTTCATACTGGTGATTGTTACTATGTATTACCAAATAATTCTATATTCAAAATTAAAGATGCCAGTGGGCGTATATTACCTTGCCTGGCAAGCTATAATCTTCAAAGAATCCTGGCGAGGACAAATTTGCATAATGCGTGCAAACACAGTTCAAACTTTTGTATAACATATCATGTATAGTAAGCATAGTTACGTAGATATTTCCACAAATAAACATCTACTGGTTATTTTTCTTACCGACATAATTTCAGAATAAATCAAAATAAACATCTTTCTACTAAAATGTAAACCTAAGTTATGGCCTTTTCATCTCGAGGTTTGAATTAGCCTAGTTTAGTTAAGCATCACAGGTTGGGGTTAATATAAAATATAATTGACAGCTTACCATTCAAAAACCATAAGACTGGATTTGCACACCGATCTTAAAATGCAGTGCACTGAAGTTCCCTACCTTGCATAATCTGAATGATAAAGCTTTTAGTGACCAAGCCTTTTCATACAGATTGGGAGATTGGGGCTTGTTCGGCTATGGGGCAAGTCCGACATTCGTTGATAACTCGCGTCTAAAATAAGTTACTACCCCACCAACACCTGACGGTAGATTGCCGGAACCAGATCGCCCGTTTTCACCAAACAATTATTCATTAGCCTTGATTGAATGACCAAAAATTGAATTTTTACCCGATAAGCTAAGTGAAATACACTTTGCTGTCATATACAACATCACACAATAATCGCTTTGTATATGTATGAAGTTTGGAAAAACAATGCCCCTTAGAATCGTATTTCATTTGACTGACTCCGGCGTCAGTTGATATCACGTGATTTGTGAAAGAAGGCCAGATGAGGCAAGTCCGATTATTTTGACAGGAGCTAGTTCGGCCAGCAATCTGACCATTTGAAAGGCTAGCCTATCTAAAGAATTTTGAGTCTATAAATGATGTCAACAATCTTCCAGAAGTCTTGGTTTAGGCATTCGAATGTGAAGAACTCCTCGCAAACGTGGTCGTGGTTGGAAAATTACGGCATGATCGTTTACATCTTCCATAACTTCGACTCTGACGATGAATAAAATTGAAAATATAGACCTACTGCTACTGTTGTATGATTGAGTCGAATTTATCCTGTGTTAATCTGATTCGATTTGGTCTAAAAACAATTTATCCTGCATCAAATCAAATTTGATTATGGTAATCAGCGCATTTATTGTAGCAGCGAATCAGATCGATATAGGTTAATCGAGTAAATCAACCTTGGAGCGTCGTAGCTCTATTACTTCCGCTTTAGTCAAAAATCAGATTTGATTTGTGACGTCATTCTGATTAGGGTAATCGAATCAGATTTAAGTGCGTAAAAATTCCTTAAGAGTTTGAATATTTTAACTTTTGATACAGCCTAATTTCCGTTGATTGGCGATCTTGCCGCAGGAAGTGTTCAAACTTACCCCTAAACGGGGTAGATTCGGTCATTGTGACTTTTTGACTTCCACGATGAATTCTTCTTAGACCACGTAAAATAAGTACAAACAAAGCCCTACATAATGATTTTTTTTTTTTAAACATTAAAATATACTTATAATATCAAGCATAATATTACATATTATATAGGGTTTTGCGTGGTACAAATAGTAGGCCTAGATGACGTTTTGAGAGCGACATCAATTAGGTCTTTCTTTCAGACATGTTTCCAGAGAGGTGAATACAAAAACTTAAGATAAATATTTAACTTATCATAAGTTTTTGTATTCACAGAGAATTTTCCGAAAATTGGCTGAACTTGCCCCAGTCTCGTGGGATTTCTCTTTCGAAAGCCGGGTAATAGGCCTACCTAAAGTCGATTTTCTCGAAGAAAATTTGAGATTTTCTGTTTTCGGTTGAATTAGACGCATAGTAGGTCTATGTTAAACTTTTTTTGATAGAAAATATTTAGGCCTACTTCTCTGGTCAAAATTTGCGAATTTATGATCATTTCCATCTGGGAATAGGTCTAAATCCGATTGCTTGTCAGGAAGTCATTCGAAAAGTATCAAAGATGTAAAGTTAAAAATTGGGTTATGCATTTGCACTCCGATCTGCAGTTGCAATCTTCCATTTATTCAAGTTTTTACTTAACAATAACATATTACAGCAGTTTATTAAGTGACCAAACGTTTCAAGAAAGCAAATTTCGTGAGGTTTTTCTCTCGAAAGCCAGGTAGGTAATAGGTCTTAATTGGCCAAGAATTTCATCTTGGGGTCTGTCTTAATTAGACTTGTTAAATAGTCTATCTTCACAAGTAGATATTTTGACAGGCTGGCTGCCAATTGAAAAATTGATAGTTGTCTGAAGCTTAAAAAAACCCATATAAGAGTTGCCTCTCCGATTTTGCTACTTTCACTTTGTTTTGGTTTTTTTTATTTCTTCATTCAATGATTCATGTCATTTAGGCTAATATAAAACTGACTATATATCATGTATTATACTGTTAATTGGTCTGCAAATAAACAGATCTAGGTAATAGATTTCACATTGTCAGAAAATATGTAGACCTTAACTTATAGTCAAAATTGCATGAAATACTGAAAAAGAGGATGGTGTTAAGAATGTTAAAGTCACTTGAAACATGGTTTATGAAATATTTATCAATCAAAAGAATAATTATCTCAGTAATTTCACTCACTATTTTATATAATGAGTTCATAGTTTACTGGATTCATAGCTCAAGTTGGCCAACATTTCCAAAAGTACAAAGGTATGTTTATTTATTAACCTACTATTACTATATTGATGGTTTACATTTTACACTAGCTAGAGTCAGAGAGTTATATAGGCTTACCTACTGTACATTATATTATGTTTTGTACATAAATCTATGTGTATAACATTGGTTGACCCATCCTGAAGAATATCCCTCTTACCTGTTCATGAGGAAAATGGGACATGAGGGCCTACCTATCTGAATGAATTTCAATTCTTCAGACAAAGTATGCAGGCAATCAAAAGCGTTTTAGGTAGGTCTATGCAAGACATAATATGATCTATCCATACTGGTTTATTGAGGATAAAAATTTAATAGGCCTACAACCCATAATTACAAGATTTATTTTGAATTAACAGGGATAAAGAATTAGTGGTATTATTAGTAGCTGATCCACAGATACAAGGTGAAGATGAAGATATTGGTTTTCCTCTAGATACATTAGCTAGATGGGATGCTGATAGGTAGGCAAAGTCAAGTCATTTTGTAGCAGACTAGTGTCTGACACACTGTGTGTTTGGCCTAGTGGTAACATATGAAAGCTGGCTTTAATCTTCATGATTGAATGTAATACTTATGTACTATGGATGGGTTATTTTCTCACTCTTGACCTTGGTCAGTAGTCTACTAATGTAAAAAATAATTCTGCAACACCCAAAATTTGATGAGTTGATGTTATTGTTGTTATGCTTTTATCATTATAGGTATTTATATAAAACATTTGAGTTAGCCTATAGTTATTGTACTCCTGATGTAGTCATCTTCCTAGGAGATCTAATGGATGGTGGTAGTCAAGCAGATCATGATGAATATGAACGTTACTTTCAACGATTTCATAGTATATTTTCTTCTGCAAAAAAGTCTAAGGTACCAAATATTCTTTAATAACTTAAATATTTAATGATAGAGTTAAAAGCACCCTTATTCTTCAGTTACAAACGTAAGATTTTACATTAACTTCAATATCATAGTTATATTACAAGTACTTCCATTATGACATATTCTGTGATTACATATATGTGGTGATATATCTAAGTTTGAGACATGTTTATCTAGGTGATCTACATACTAAGTGATACTGATATATGTTGTGACATATCTACCAATGAGACATGTGTTTGTTATTCTAGGTGATCTATATACTGGTGATAATGTTATAGGTGGTGATATATTTATCATTGAGACATGTCGACATGTGTTTATTATTCTAGGTGATCTAGATACTGGTGAAAATGATATAGGTGGTGATATATCTATCATTGAGGCATGTTGACATGTGTTTATTATTCTAGGTGATCTAGATACTGGTGATAATGTTATAGGTGGTGATATATTTATCATTGATACATGTCGACATGTGTTTATTATTCTACATGATCTAGATACTGGTGATAATGTTATAGGTGGTGATATATCTATCATTGAGACATGTCGACATGTGTTTATTATTCTAGGTGATCTAGATACTGGTGATGATATAGGTGGTGATATATCTATCATTGAGACATGTCGACATGTGTTTATTATTCTAGGTGATCTAGATACTGGTGATGATATAGGTGGTGATATATCTATCATTGAGACATGTCGACATGTGTTTATTATTCTAGGTGATCTAGATACTGGTGATAATATAGGTGGTGATATATCTATCATTGAGACATGTCGACATGTGTTTATTATTCTAGGTGATCTAGATACTGGTGATGATATAGGTGGTGATATATCTATCATTGAGACATGTCGACATGTGTTTATTATTCTAGGTGATCTAGATACTGGTGATGATATAGGTGGTGATATATCTATCATTGAGACATGTCGACATGTGTTTATTATTCTAGGTGATCTGGATACTGGTGATAATGTTATAGGTGGTGATATATTTATCATTGAGACATGTCGACATGTGTTTATTATTCTAGGTGATCTAGATACTGGTGATAATGTTATAGGTGGTGATATATCTATCATTGAGGCATGTTGACATGTGTATATTATTCTAGGTGGTCTATATTCCGGGTGACAATGATATAGGTGGCGAAGGAAGAGATTTTAGAACCAGATTGAAAGAAGCGCGCTATGAAAGTTATTTTGAAAATATTGATGGTGTTGTTAAAACTGACTTGGTGGATTTTTTAAAGGTTTGATATTTAATTGTATTTCTATTGCATTGATAGTAGATAGATTGATAGTAGATAGATTGATAGATCTATTACAATATGTCCAAGGTGGTAAAATAGAAAATGTAATAAACTATTACTGTATCTGATCATATAAAAATACATTTAAGTTTAGTTGGTTTTCAAATGCGCCTGTGAAGCCTATACTGTCTGGTCTTTTCATATCCATTGGTTTGCACTTTCACAATAGCTTGTAAGGCAGAACCTCTTTAATATAAAGAAGTGTCGTAATATAAGCTTATGGACCATTATGTTGATATCTATTTTCATTATTTCAGTTAGATGTTCAATTTCATTTTAATATACCACCTGGTACTGATGAATTGTTGAAAGATTTCCGTACTAAAATGACTTCATCATTTCGAGTCATATTAACCCATGAAACTATGTTACCTAAAATGAAGGAATATATCTATCCAGTAAGTAAAAACAGAAATAGAGTATATCTAATAATGGAAAGACTATCTGAATAAGTAATTTAAAAAAAACAAATAAAAAAATTGAATTCAATTTGAGCTCCATTTTCAGCACTAAACTTCCTCAATAATTTGATCTTTTTGTAGATTTTAAAAGAAATTCAACCACAATTGATAATATCTGGACATTGGCATAGGGTAAGAGTTTTCAACTTTTTATTTTCAAACCATACAACATATAAATACCAGTATGACTGAATTCGATTGAATTGGACATAAAGTTTAAAGTCTCAAACTTGGTCAACAAGTGTATAATATATTCAACAGTTGTAGCCTACTGACCAGGTGCCATGACTGAAGAATAGAATCTCTATATAACACGCTATATCCATTAAACTAAATAATTATTGAAAAACGCCTCTAAGCATGTTTCATAATTACTCAGTTTAATGAATTATTACTTAGTTTTATGCATTTATTGGATTATAGAGGGATTCTTTGTATATTTATGACATCATTTGACATACTGTTTTGTACATTAATGTTCTAACTTTGTTGTTTGTAGGCAATGCATTATTTATGTGATAGTTGTATCAATGATAACAGTGATAGTGGACATTGGCCAGTACATGTGAGGTATTTAACACATATCACAGACTATATATACCTAGATCTAAGTAATCCACAAGGCATACAGGAGATAATGGTACCAACTTGTAGTTATAGGATGACTGATGCTGATATAGGTTATGGTGTAGCTATCATGAGTAAGTATACAAAAAATTTCAAGTAAAGGATTAGCTATGTGGAGTCTCGGAAAGGGATTCAAAATTGACAAGTCATAGAGTGTTTCCTTGCTATCACACCAAACATAGAAATTACTTTGGTAAAGCTCAAATTCAAGTGTTTGTACTCAAGAGTTTTAAGATGAAGAATGACCTCTAGGAAAATTTTGCAAAGTTTTCAGATTATTTAAAATGTTAAATACTGATGGATATATAAAGATGAACAATATTTAATTATAATGAATATATATCATTTTTCAGATGAAGATAATAGCGTAAAATATACAGTATTATGGTTACCACTTCGTTATACATATCTTATGTTATACATTATAATATTTATATCTCTTATTACCTTTTATATATTAACCAAAACATGTCTTCCCACACTGATACAAATATTATATACCTTAATTAGACCTAGTTCTAAGCAGATTTGATAGCTCTGAAAATTACAGATCCAGATCCAGTGGTAGATCTTTGTGAAGAAACTTTATAACATTTTGATAAATTCATATTTTTCATAAAACTTTTTGAAAGTACTCAAAAGCCAAGTCAATAGTTGAAATTTAAGCCTTACCAAGATTATGATGCAGTTTTGTTTTAATTTTTTTTTCAAAATGTCAACATTGAAGCAAAAATGTATGTAAATCTTGTCATTTTATAGTTTTTTTGTATTGTTTATATATTTATATTGTATTTTATAAAAGGTCAACTATGCTTTGTTTACATTCCATTTATATCATTATCATTTTAAATCACCACACATAGCCATTTTAAATCATTAAATTAAAAGAATGTGCATATTGTTTTTTTTTTCTAGTTTTCTCTAAGTTCTAGATAATATTTTATTCCAGTGCATAAAAGATTGCATTTATGATTGATAATTGGTGAAGAGTTCAGATTTTGGGAGTCCAAAGGCATCAATTATAAGGCTTAAAAACAATCCAAACCAACTAATAAATTACTTGATATACCCTTTACTTTCCTCATAAACAAGGAAACTTATAAGGATTATAAGGAAACATATTGTTTACCACTGCCTATTCATAATTTAAAGAGCCGAATTCAGAACAATATGCAAACAACATTTTGAAAAAACAGACATGGAGAACTAAAAAAGACTAGCACCTCCTAGCACCTGTAAAAATCCAGTAATTCCACATGTATTGAATTAGAAGCAACAAACAATGTATAAAGTTCTTTATTTGTATCTGTTATACCATCCTTTTTTACCACCCAATAAACTGTCATCATAATGTACCAGATTATGATCAAGTACATGGTATTTTTGATTTAATATTTGCATTATATCTGTTTCTATTTTCCCTGCTAAATGTCTAGGTGTATATCCATCTCGAACAGATCGTGTCACTGTAATAAATTTGGGTAAAACTGTTGCTGATAATAATGTTAATAATTTCTCAGTTCTTTTTTCAATCTCCTGTATTGAAGGAGTATGGAATAATACTAGAGTACTATTTGGATCATTATAACTGACACAAAATCTCATACTGGGCTCAAAATGCAATGTATTAGGTGATCTTGTCAAACATAACCCAATAGTCTGTGTAATGTTTAATTGTAAATCTGTTAATTTCAGAAGATGTCTCATTAATGCTTCAAGAAAAACAGGAGCTTCATCTGAACACAAGAAGTTATTGAGTTGTTGTAAGAGGGTTGGTATCATTTGAAATAGCATAGATTGAATAGTGACAAACTTCATACACTTTCCTTTATAACCAGGATCACATTTACCAATATCTTTATTTAGTTGTAGTATTTTTTGAATGAAAAAATGGAAAAAGTGATCAAGGGTATATTCATCATCAACATCAGAACCACAAAAAACACTGTTTATAATAGTTTCTATATGCCCAACAATTTTAGGATCTATGTTGGTTCGATATAGTTCACTAACAACACTTTCACAACCATAATAATCTTCATCTATATCTAATATAATAACTTCATCG